GAACTGCTAAGCATTTAAACTCTGCTGCAGAGTGTGCCATTCTGATGGACTGGCCATATTGTTCAAATGCCAAGTGTATGTTTGCCTAGAAGACTATGTCATGAAGCACTCACACAAGGCAAATGCTCACATGGAGATCAGAAAAAGTGCAAGGACATTCTCAAGGTCTCTCTGGAGAACTTTGGAATCCATTGTAAGACATGGGAGACCCTGGAACAGGAATGCTTTGCATGATGCGCCCTCATCTAAGAAGGCATTGTGCTCTATGAGCAAAACAGCATTGAAGTAGCTTCAAAGAAATGTGAGATATACAAATTTAGGGATACTTCTACTCCAAATGTTCACATGGACTATTTGTGCCTGACCTGTGGTAGAGCCTTCTGAGCTTACATGGGTCTTTTCTGCTCCAGTTGGACACACTGCACTGTGACCCCAACATAGTTATGTCATGTCGGTCCTCTTTGACAATGAGGGAAAACAAGGAAATGTGTGCAAAAGGAACCCAGGTAATTTGGGGAGGGTGTATGATAGCAGCTTGGGGGACCAAAGGAGATTTTGTGAAGAAGATGGCTCGAGTTTTAAATAAAAACAGTGATTGCAAGAGGGAGAGGTGAAACGGAGCTCCCTTCTCAGTGTGAAGCATGGCTGCGACAAAAGCAGAGCATCAGAAGACAGCCCTGTGTATGGAGGCTGCAAGTAGGCTGGTGTAGCTGAATCATGTGCAGGACAAAGAACACAGTGAACCACAATTGGAAAACTAAGAAGGGACCTGGTTGGGAAGAGCTCTGAATGTCAAATGAAGTTTGTTTGATCCTTAAGGCAATTGGGAGCCACTGGAGTTTACTGAGCAAGGGTGGGGAGTGATATGATTCAACATGTGCTTTATGATAAAGAGCCTGTCAACCTGGACACAGATTCCAATCCTGCCTTCCACACGTATTGTCTGTTGGGCGCTGACCAAACTATTTAACTTCTCTAAGACTTTCCCTTCCTCTACATACCTCACGCTTTCCTTTGCTATAGAAATGTGAATGACTTATTGTTACTAATACACATCAGGATGTCTAAGATATGGACCTCTATACCCAACAACTAAGGGTAGCTAAGTGATACAGTGGCTAGAGCACCAAGCCTGGAGTCAGGAAGACTCATCTTCGTGAGCTCAAATCCGACCTCAGACCCTTACTGTAGTTGTGCAAACCCGGGCAAGTCATTTTGCCTCAGTTTCCTCATCTATAAAATGGTCAGGGAAGCAATTGGCAAACCACTCCAGTGTCTTTGCCAAGAAAACCATAAATGGAGTCATGAAGACTCAAATACAACTGAACACCCAGTACATCTCCTCTGGCTTTTTCTTCCCTTTCTACCTTCTTCTTTTCTCCCTTCATCCTTTCACTTTCTTTTTGGTATTCAGTAAGCTTTTAATAAATGCTTGTTTAGTTGAGTCCTCTTCCTTCTTCCTTCTTCTATAGATATTTACTGCTGTCTATGTTGACCTCCCTGTATATACTCATGCACACACACACACACACACACACACACACACACACACACACAACCTTTGTCCAGGAAGAGAGGCAACTTATACTAAGTGATTGGTAAAGTGCTTATGTTTATCATTATTCTTTTTCTACCTAAAGGAATGTTGGCTACTACAGTATCTTAACACTCTAGCAGACAGGTGATCTCCCTGATGGGTCGATGTCTCCTCTCAGATCACTGCTCTTCCATACCTTTCCATCCTGTGTGATTTCAGTCAGTATCTTCCCAGAACCCTCCACAGAGCATTCATTCCATGTACTTTCTTGATACTTATGTGCATGACCACAGAGCCAATGACTCTCGCTGGCAATTGGTTCAAAGGCTGAGAATCAAAAGGTGTCATGGAGGTCATTTAGTACATTCTCCTCATTTACAATTAAAGAATCTCAAGCCCAGAGTAAGAAACCTCCCCAGATTCAGGCAGCCAATGAGTAAGAGGTAAAATTCAAAGCCAGGTATCTCCTTACTTTTTCCACCAATATAATGCACAGGTATTTTAATAAGACAAGAAAGGATGGCATTGGTTTTCTGAGTTAAATGTCAATTTTCTCTACATTGATTTCTCTGATACTTTCTCTTATGTAGCTAGCCATCTCAAAATAAATACAGGATTTTCTTTTTTTTTTTTTGGATAGAACAGTTAAGGGCCACATAGAAATTCCTTAGTTTGGTTAAAGAAGTTTTAAAAAAAAATGAACTGAAGCCTCAAACTAACCAGCAGTAATTGATTGGGGGCGGGGAGGAGGATGGGGGCGGGATCCTATTTGCTAGAGAGCTTCTGCTGCCATTAAGTCCTGGCTTGTCGATCCACTGGGACGTCCTAATGCAATCGAAGGACTCCGACTCCGCGAAGCAATCCGTCCGCATCCTCTCCTTCCACACTCTGATCCTGCAGGAAGCCAGCTCTCACTGACGTTCCTCTTCTCTGAATCTGCTGGAAAGGAGTTCCCCCACTATTAATAGCCTGTCCACAGTGGCATGAAGGTTGGAGGGAGACTCCAAAGATGGGGATTTGAACTCCAGCTGTCCTTTACTAAGCGGCGTAACCTTGTGAAAGACACGGAACCTCCCTGCGCTTTCATTTCCCCCTTTGTAAAATGTGAGAGGTGAGACTAGGCTAGCCGGTCTCCAAGTTTCCTTTCAGTTCTAAATTTGGCATCTGGTAAATCAGTAGAAATTGAAAGATCCACAAGAGGAAAAAGATGTGCATTGTTATGCAAAATAGGTGTCCTGACTTAGTAGGGGTGGTTTCCTTTTACTTAGTAGGTTTCCCTACTAAGGGGTGGTTTCCAGATGACACTAACGTTGTCTTTCTCCTTGACTCTCGAACACCTTACCAGGGGTCAAGGTCGTCTGCTAAGCACACACGCAACTGCACTGTATTTTATCAAATGATTTTAATAGAAAAGGTACATGATATGAACAAAAATAAATAATCTTTATCTCATATCTATCCCAGCAAATTTTACACTGCATTTGAAACGGCTTAAGATGATGCTTTTCTCTATTTTTTTCATTCCACTTTTGAAACCGATGGCATTTTAATCCACTGTTAGATTCCCATGAATACACCATTAGACAAGGCATACCTGCCCATTGCTCCAGATCCCTCATTACCATTTTCCCCTTTTTTTTTCAGATGACTAACATGAGAATATTTTCTTAAAGCAAAATAACATCAAGCTATTTCATATTATCAGTTGGAACCTGAGTGCATGGAGGAAAACAGAAATCCTTTTTTTAAAAAAAAATTAAACTCTCTGTCTTCCCCAAAAACTTCGAATCCAAAGTAATGTATTTCATTTCCTAACCTTGCTTTCAAAAGGACAGCATCTATTCCTCACCGTTCCACGCAGGAGAGGGGAGACTAGAATAAACTTCTTTTTAATAAATATTTGAAATGTATATTTTACAGTGACGATGCAATATTTTAGACATGTGCTTTGGTGCTTATTTGCATTACATATATGCTTCAAGTTATATATATAATATATATCATATATATGTATATTTTATATTATGTACCACCAACTCTGGGGGAGAGGGCCTGTTTTCTCCAATGACCATCTTTTGCTATCAGCCGCAAAGCACAGGAAATCAATCCCCTTTAACACAAGTCTCTTGCCTGGAGTTCACTCTTTCAAGATTCTTCACTGGTCTTGGGTCTTTGGCAACACCAGAAGCTCTAAGAAATGTTTTTGCAAAACAGGCTGGGGAACCAGTATTGGCAGCACCACATAAAACCAAGGGGTTGGCTGGATTCCGAACACATTTTCTGGTGCCAGACTAGGGGTATCAGCAGCAATAGCTTACAGAACTAAACAGATAAACTCAGGAACTTCAAACAGCCTCCCTTCTCCTTGAGTTCATAATGACTATTTTGAACCTGGCCTGTTTGACTGGTGCAATATGTATGTATATATATATATTCATTTTCCCATATTGGAAAGATCTTGAATGTACTCCAGTATGAATATATATGTATATACATATATACGTACAAATACATATACATATATACACACATGTATGTATACATGTGTATATGTATGTATATATATATGTGTGTGTGTATGTGTATATACATATATATATATATATATTTTAAATTGCTGACTGTCCTAAATAGAGACTATGTTTTTGCAATAACGAATACTGGTCAATATACAAATGAAGGAAAACTGAAACAGATGTTAGTAATAGAACCACAAGCATTTACATTTGCCCAGAAATGCTGCTATTTTAAACACTCTATATGTTGGTCTACTGTTTTTCTGTGGAATAATGCATTCTTGGCATCTTTGAAAGGTTTCAATGTGTTACAAGGTTATCCTAAAAAAAAAAAAAGACTGATTTATCAATCTCTCTCCAGTCTGGTATAGATTTAGGATTTTTTTTCAAGTACATATGCTTCTGTTAATTGCATGTCCTAAAAACGAACCTTTTTTGCCATCCTGGGCATTAATGCAGCTTTTTATCAAGGTTTCTTTTGAGGGTCACTGCCAACCAGTCCCACAGTGCACAGCCAAAGTCCAATAAAGAAGTCCCACAGTTTTGTTGGAAACCACGGAGATACATTTTCTGGGATGGCAAATCTAGTAACGGAACAAAACATCTTTCTTCCCGCCCTTCAGATCCTCTAAGAGCTGCTGCGAATCCCAACCCTGCTCTGAGACAATGATAGGATCAGTGTTGTGCTCAGGGAATGCACGACCTCCTCTACCAGCTTTGGACCATATGCGTAGGGTTTGTGAGGTTCACAGATAAGAAGAGAGGGCTCCGTCTCAGCCAGGCTCCATTTACCATTATCTATAAGCATCAAAACAATTTGGATTTCGCCCAAATGCTTCACTTTCCTATTTAAAAAAAAAATCATCTCAGCAACCTAACCTCTCCTTTGTTTCTCTGATAACCTCCCTAGGCATAATCTAAAGGACAATTGAAACCACTTACCAATATACAACCAATGTTTTATTTTATAGTCTATCTTTCATCACCACAGAAGCCTTTCATTGCTTATATCTCAGACCAGTGAAATTTACAAATCACACAAGGCAGAAATATGTACATTAAATGTACAAAAGAAAGGATAGGGAAGAGAAGATTTACAGAATATCTGAAAGACCAGTAAAATATATTACATTAAATATTGTTTAATAGTTAGGATTGTTCAACTCAGCTCTATTCAAGAACATGATCACTCAAAAATTTTTAATTTAAAAAACTCTGGTTTATCAAAGGAGAGAAAAAATAATTCATGGGTTTTTTTTGGTAGAAAACACCCCCAGAAGTGACATCTTCAACAAATTGGTGTTTTTCTACTTTAAGATATTTTTGTTAGAATCTCCAGCAATGAAGGGTAAATTTATGTCCTTGTGTAATAAATTAAAAGTGAGAAAGTGTGGATTAAGAAGCTGAGAAATGATGGAAAAGCTGGGCATCCTACCAGCACTGGACCTGGGAAGAATTATTCTCTCAGGACTGTCAGGGGAGGGTATCATGGAGACGAAACACTGAAGGCCAGATTCAGGGGGATTTGGGTTGAAAGAGCCGTCTTAGACAACAACACCAGATATGCTGTGAGCTGAGTTTGTTGTTATTTTTTGGTCAATTTTCAAGAACTCTAAAAAGTCTGTATTCCCATTTAAAGAAATACATGGGCAAAAGGGGCCAATCAAGGATGCTAGTAAATTCTGCTCTTTCTCCTTTTCAGTGGTCAGTAATGCCCTCTCAGGAAATTGAAAGGAAACAGGGGACAGATTCAGGGAGGGTGGGAAAAAGATGTCTTCTAACCCATGAGACCTTATGTAAATCGTACCTCGTCCATAGCCCCAAAACCTAGGAAAGAACACCTGTGTGTGACATCATCACATCTAACCCCAGCTCAGAAAACCTTTACCATAAAAACCCTAATTGCCTTGTACTAAAAAGAGGCCTCCATTGCCCCAAATTGACAAGCAGCCCCGTAGTAAGCTGTAAAAGTTCAGATCACTGACTGTATTAAGATATATTTATATTTATATATGTATATTATATATATATATATATATATATATATATTATGTACAAAAAAAACCTTTGAGATATCAGGCACCATCAGACCACATTTTCCCATCTAGATTCATTCCCCTGTCCAAGTTCTTTCTGAGTTCCTAGAGTGTCTGTCTGTCTACCTACAGGCTATTACAAGAGGTAAGAATGTATCGTCAAAATACAGGGTCATAACTTGGATTGCTGCAACACCTCCTTGAAGTGAATTAGCCACATAAAAGTCATTAAAATATAAAGCTCTCGTCTCCTCCGAATAAGACTCTTTACAGAAAGTCCATGAGGAATTCAGAGTTCTCAGAAGGTGGCTCGCATGATTCATTTCCTCTTGTAAAAATCACAGGGGAGAGATGCGGAGGTGCATTTGGGGAAGGCGGCCAGCCATCACAGCCCAGGATCAGGGAGGGCTGGGGGTGGGAGCAGGGGAAACCGATCGGAAATGCCTTTTTCTGACTGGGGCCATCCCAGTTGTACACTGAAGGACACTGCCTTCTGGCAGGTTTGGGCCAGGTGGGACTTTGCAATGCTAGCTCATTCTCACTCTTCTGTCACTTGTTAACCAGGCACTTCTAGGGGAAATGCTTTGTTTTTCCTTTAAATTAAAAAAAGGGAGGAAGGAGAAGAAGATGCCCTTGAAGAAAGAGATGATTCTTTGAGGCTGGAGGCCTCTTCCCTCTCACAAATGAGATTTATCCACAGGGTTTCAAACTATTGACCTGACCTTGTCATTAAAGGTATTTATTTAAATTCCTTCTCCCTCTCACCCTCCTCTAGATTTCACTATTAGAACAAAGTTGTTCAATGACAAAGGACATTAGGCAGGTGGAAAGAATACACATCAGACACCTTGCCCCCCTGAGTGATGCTGGAACTTCTCTGCTTCGTTCCAAGGAGCCTGTCACCGTTGGTAAGAGAGAAATAGCTTTGGCAATGCCTCCCCCATCCCCCATCCCGGGATGAGCATTGGTTTCATGAGACCTGTGTGGGGCTTTCCTAGTGATCTAATAGGCACAATTCAATTGGGCTGAGGATGCTGAGTCAGATAGAGATGAAGACCACCACTGAATGTGATCCATCAGCTGTGTCCCATCTGAATCCCACCGTGCAGGGATCCTCGGGACAAAGGAAGGAGACAAGAGATAGAGGTTCCTTTTCCTCCTCTCTGTGAGCTATGTCCCATGTCATTACATTGGGATAGGTTTGATTTCCCCTCATTCTGCACTATCACAAGTCTCATTTCCACCTTTTCCCCATAAAATAAATATTTTCTTGGTGTCCCCCCCCCAATTTTTTGCCAAATAATAATAATAATAACAATAATAATAACAATAATAAACCACATAGTTCTTGAATGGGAGCAGAAAATGGTTCTAGTTGCTTCTATTTGCAACTTGGGGTAGAGGGGTGTGGGGAGGGGTGAAGACATCATTGAGCGCTCTATAAATAAAGTGGAGAATAGTCCTGGGGTAGAGAGGGTGCCCCCTGCTGGAGGCAGCAGCCCTGCTATTTGCACACAAACTGGTCCACGATCTCAGTGCATTTCTTGCATTTGACATAACAGCACCAGTGAAATTTGCAGTGGCAGCGTTCTGTCTGTACCGTCTTGAACTGGTCATAGCCGCGGCCACAGCACATGAGCTCGCAGCCGTCCATGCCTTCCGAGGTCTTATTGCAGAGCCGGCCCTGTGTGCCCAGGGACCCCGTGCTCTCATTGCGCACACAGTAATCCGGGCTCGGGTCAATGTAGACCAGGTCCTGCGTGGTGGGTGTATTGAAACGGCTGTTGACTTGCACCAGTTTGCCCCGGCTGTTGAGTTTCATGGCTGCAGCGCTGTCATATTTCTCCTTCAAGGCATCCCCTACTTTCCGGAAATCAGCCAGCTGTAGCCAACAGGTCTTCAAGCTACAAGAGCCAGACACCCCATGGCACTTGCAGGCCACATCTGCCAAGTTAAAGACAGTCTGGGAAAGGAGAAAGAAAGATGACATAAAGGAAAAAAGGAAGAAAGAAAGGAAGAAAGAAAGAAAGAGAAAGAGAGAGAGAGGGAGAAAGGGAGAAAGGGAGATAGAGAAAGAGAGAGAGAAAGGAAGAAAAAAGAAAGAAAGAAAGAAAGAAAGAAAGAAAGACAGAAAGATGAAGAAGAGAGAGAAAATATGGAAAGAGAGAGAGAAAAAAAAGCCAGTGGATCAGTATGTTGTGGTAAAATATCATCTAATCCAGACAGCATGGACATTTGCTTAGAGACAAGTTTAGCACATATTTCCTGGGCACATAAAAAAGTGGGGATGGTAGAGCCATTTACCAGGGGCAAAAGCAGTTGAGAGGGCAGGCATTGGCAGTATAGTTACCAAAGGGGAAGGTGACCTTCAGACTCAGACGGTAGAAGGTGGTCTCTCCAGGAACTCAACTTCCTAGAGCCAACCATGCTACACAGGGTCCCAAGGTCATTAGAGGACCCAGAGCTAAAGGGATGGGGATCTTCATGGGGGCGATATGTCCCTTCTTACCCATTAAAAATCAGTGCGGTAAAGCGCATCATCATTGTTCCATGCTGACTATGGGTGGAGGTAATGGGGTGGGGGTGGGCGGTGGTCTCACATGTTTGGCCTCCCTGCAGGTCCTAACAAGGACCTTTAGGAATATCAATCACAGGAGAATATCCACCTAATAGCCAGAAAACTTGTACTTCTTCAATTCGCTGCCTCTAGGCCTGCCAGCAAAGGCCCCTCTCCAGATGCTTTTACTGCTGCCCCGGATCTGTTCTCATTCCCTCACCAGGTGGCCAGGTAGAGGGTGGGGGAGCAGTATTCTAGGAACTGAGGCATGGCTAGAAAATCAGTTCCCATCCTAAATGACATTCTTTTCTTCCCAAGTCACTTAAAAGGAGACTTCAAGCAAAGGCCAGGACAAAAGGCCCACCCTGAGGCTGGTGATAGAGGCAGCCACCCAAAGGAACCCCAAAGGGGCCAAGGTCAGGGTTTTGATACTGCCTGGCTCCCTGAGAAAGTTCACCATCTATCCCATTAACAATGGAAATAGGCCCAAAGCAGTGGCCAGCAAATGCTTGGGTGTCACCCAGGAGAAGACAGTTAACACACAAGTTGACAAGCTCTCCTTTCATTTGACCTCTGTTGCCCTTGCAATGGACCTCAAAATGACCAGTCCCACAGCAATCCACCTGATCACTCCTTGCCACTTGGGGCTCCCTCAGTGTCCCCATCTCTAAAAGGAGAGGCTCTCCCTGGAGGAGCTCTTGAGACCCCTCCAGCTGCAACAGACTGGGCCTCGTGATTATCTTTCTCCCTTCTTCACCTCAAAACACAGAAGTGTAAAGTCTTCAGGCGAAGGTTTCTGGCAACTACTATGAAAAAATAATGACTGGCTTTCTGAGTTGCCAGTGTTAAGAAAAGTTTACACCCTTTCATTCAAACGTTTTAAAGAAACCATAAAAAACCATGTGTTTAACCACAGGAAAAAAAAGGGGGGGGTGTTTTTAAATATTGTGGAGAAGCTTTTCATATCCTCATGAGGGGCCTGGGGGAGGGGGAGGGGGGAGAAGTGGGAGCATGGCGGAGGCCGAGGTTTATAGCACCCTGCAAGCACATTCTTCTCAGGGACATTTTGAGCTCTTTTCTTCCCTCCCGAGTGTCTCTTGTGATTGGCCAGGCTGTCAGACCTATAAAATTCCAAACTGTTGAAAACCCAGCAGCTTTCCTAGAATTTTTTTTTTTAAGTCAGAGTCTAAGGTGAGTGATCTAATTTCAGAAAGGGAGGGGCCCAGGCAGACAAGGAAAGAGCCAGAGGCTGAAACCTGGGGAGAGGGGTCCTGCTCAGCTGGGCATCCACTGAAATAATTTCTTCAAGAGGGTCCCAGGCAAGATCTTACCCCTTCCCAGAATGCGAGCCAACCACAAATATGTCGATCCTCCACTGGGGGGGGGCCTGTAAAGTTAGGTATTAAGGATTTTACGTCTGAGCTTGCCGGCAGATTTCACTGAGAGTTAATTTAAAAGGCCAGGAAAATATGTCCTTGGTAAAGCAACGCTCTCCAGCACCTTCTAGGGGAAAGCCAAAGCCAGAAGGGTCATCTCCAGCTAAGCTGCCATGCTTCTGCCTTCTCTCTGGGGAGGGCTAGAGGACCAGCCAGGTGGGGAGCATATCTGGGTGGGCACCCAGGACTCGCTTCATGAGAGGAGGAGGTGCAGGGTTTGTCCAGGTGGGCACCCAGGGAAAAGTGTAGGGCTTAATCCACTGCGGGATACTCACCCTCCTTCCAGCTTCATTGTTGTGCAGGTTCATTAGGGTCCGGGCGCTCTCATAGGAGCCCTTGGAATGGATTCTCTCCCGCTCCCGAGCATCTACAAACTCCTTGGCAAAGCGGTACCCGTAGTCGATGTTGTCCCCACAGCCTCCCCAAAGCCAGTCCCGGGGCAGGTCTTTGGGCCGAGCAGCCCGGCTACAGCCGCAGGTGGACAGCTCCCCTTCCCTGCAAGCCCGGCTCATGGCATTGACCACCCCAGCAGCACTCACTGCGTAAGTGAAGGCCGTCTCCCTGCTACCTGTAAGCAAAGCAGAGACCAGTGAGCGCCAGGGAAGCAAGAGCACACATCATCCCCAGCAGAGGCTTACTTCTGCCCTCGCCCCACCAAACAACCAAAGAGCGCTGGGTTGAGTCACAACAACTGGGTTTAAATCCCAGTGCTGCTGCCTGTGAACCTCGAACAAGTCACAACAGCCCTGGGCCTCAGATTCTGCATCCCTCAAGTGGATGGGCCAGACTCGATGACCTCTTCTGTCCCTTCATGCCCCAAATCCACGACTGTAATAACAGACAGAAGAACCCTAGTGACGGCTTGAAATGCCGTGAAATTCCCTGTCGAGTGGAAGGTTTAAGCTGAGACCCTGGAGACCTTGGTTTTCCCATCACTTCTACCCTGTCCCAAAACAATGACATTACTGGCTTTTTTTTTTTTAATAGAAGACCCACATAACCTCTTTCTGAAAGACTAGAGAATTAAGATAAAACTCGCTGTTCCTCGACTTTAAAGGGACCGTTTCTCTCTTCCCTAATCACAGGACCATAGAGAGAAGCTGAAGGGAGCCCCAAGAGGCCTTCCCATTCACATCCTTCATCTGCAGGTGAGGGCAATGAACCCTTGAGAGGCTAAGTGGATTCCCGAGGTCATATAGCTGGGAACTCAAGTTCCCAATTCCCAGTTTTTCGAGTGTGTGCATTCAAGCCTTCTTCCCACTTCAGCGAGTGCCTAAAGCTAGTAGTCTGCTGCCTTAGCAAGGCAGTCTTTGGCCCCAGGATGAAAATTCAGAGAGGAAAAAACTAGCAAGAGCCCTTTGTCCTCCCCACTCTAAAGCAGGAAATCTTTATGGTCAGCAGCCTTGGATATTAAAATAAAAATCCAAATTAACCCTTAAGTGGGCAAGGAACTGAAAAGATGGGGGAAGAGGGCCTTCCCAAACTACCTTTGAATTCCATGGCTCTATGGGGAAATTGACTTGTGTTAGAAGAAACCACTAAAGTATGAAGTCTTATGGCTTGGGGGGTTGAAGAAGGGGAGGCGAGGAGAAAGTAAACACAGAGACGGTCCAAACCCTGGGAGGGCCTCAGTCTCTTCATCTGTAAAATGCAAGATTGGACAAGATGGGCCGAAAATAGCCACTGCAGAATGAGTGGAAAGGGCAGGATTCTGTAGCCCGGGGCCTGTTTCTCCTCCAGCCTCTTCTGAGAGCTATCTCTGGGGTCCCTTGGAGAGCAGCAGAAACAGCTTTGACCATCCCCTCAATCCCAAACCCAAACAGCATTCGGCTCCCCTCTTCTTGGACCTCTCCTCAACACAGCCCTAATTCCCTTTTCTAGGAATGGTGAGAGTTCCGATTTGCAGTCAGAGCCTCCCTCACACATTTGGAAAATAAATACCTCGGGGAGTGAGCCCGTGGTTGGCATTTCCTGCCGTGGAAGAGCAGAATCCAAATGAGTGACTGGGGGGGATGTCATATCTACCTTGAACTTGAAGGTGGGGTGGGGGTAGGCAAAAAAAGGAAAACAGAAGTAGAAATAGGCAGGCAGGGCATTAGAGTTCTGTTCTGGATGGGAAAACTCCAGAATTGGAAGTCCTGAACTCATTGGAGAAGGGATGAAAAAAAGTCAATATGAAGTGAGAAGACAGTACCATAAGGCCTTTACAAAATAAAACCCATCTACACATCTACACACATATTCTCATATACATACACTAGTTTTAAAACTATAGAGTATTTATGTGTATTTGTACATATATACATGCACATACAAATGTGTTGCCTTGTATATCTGTGAAGCAATTCAGCATGATAATCAGCTCTGGGGCCAGGGAGGTCTGGGGTCACATCCTGCTGGACACCTACAGTTCAAACTTTCTGTGTTACAGACAAGTGTTTAAGCCCACAAATCACAGAAGAGATGTTGATCTACACAGGTCGTAAGAGCCCTTGGGGACCAGGAGTCCCCTAGGAGGATGAAAATGAAATCACAAGTCCCTCCTAACCAATAAATCAACACACACACACACACACACACACACACACACACACACACACACACAATAGCATGGTGGAGAGTTCTTTCAAGACCTGGGTTCAAATCCCACATCTGATATTTACTAGTTATATGACCCTGGGTTAGTCATTTTATCTCTTTGACAATCTCATCTTCCTCATCTGTGAAAGGAAGAAGTTGAACTAGATTACGGATTCTTAACTTGGAAGCCATGAACTTTTTAAAATAATGGTATTTCAAAATAATTAGTTTCCCTGGTGATCCTAAGTATTTTATTTTATACATTTAATATGACTAGGAGTAGAGGTCCACAGGTTTCACCAAAGTCCTGCCCTAGGGGTCAACAATACCAAAAAGGATAAAAAAAAAATAACTGAAAAACAAAAACAAAAAACACCCTGTATAGATGACCTTGAAGAAAGTACCTTCTCTCTCTCTCTCTCTCCCTTTCTTCATATATATGGATGTATGTATATGTATATTTTCCAATTTGCAAGGGGAAACTGGCTCTGTGATTTTGAATGTATAGAAAGAAACTTTCCCTCTTCTTAAAATTTACATTTTCCTCAAAATACAAGAAATGACTGGGGCAGAGAAACCTAAAAGCAAATTAGTCCCGGAAAGAAATACTATCCTTTGGAAAATGTGCATTTTTAGCTCAACACCAATCAGTTAGCTCTTTTATTCTGTAATACTGCTGATCCAATTTGGTATCCTTCTGTGTGAAATGTTTCCATTTACCATCTCCCCATCCCCCTAAATGATGCTGCCTTTTCAAAACATCTTTGCCCTCTGTGAAAACAAAGAAAGCAGGGGCTGAAAAGCTTGAGGGGGAGGCTACTTAATGAAAAATGAGAAACTCTTTTTTTTTTGGATGGAAAAAAAGAGTCTCTAATGAGCCCTTGTTGTACCGAGTGTCTCGAAGGCATTGACATGGAAGAAAAATGAGGTGCCTAAGTTAAAGAGGACGGGGGTCAGACATATCACCCTAAGCCTCCTTGACACTGGTCCCATTATAGGGTCAGGTTTTCACATGGATTAATTGTTTCTGAACAATTTCCCTGATGTATTAGGCACACACACACACGCACACACACACACACACACACACACACACACACACACACACACCTCGTGTGTGTTTCTCTCCCTTTCCACCAACCGACCGTCTGCCTTCTTTCTTAGCATATCCTCCTCAAACAAACATTTATTGTGGATAAATCCAAACTAAGTAACTTTCTCACTCCTGGTGAGATGGGGGAGGGAGAATTCCCCTAGATCTTATTTACCTGGAAGTCTTTTTGGTCAGGGTCTACCAGACCTCCTCCTCCCCCCACCCGCCCTGCTTCCTCTTGTTAAACCAAAAGCAGTATCCCCCCACCTCCCTTTTTGCCTTCTTCATTCTGATAGTGGATGTGTTGGCTGTTTCTTGCTTAGAGAAATTGATGCCTTCCTGAAACTTGCTGAAGGCCATGATCAATAGTTTGGCAGGAGAAGCTCCCGCCTGTTCTCCTCTCATCTGTCCAGGATATCAACTGACTCAAAGATATCATCAAGAAGGGAGCCTTCTCCAAAAAGTCTGGATGCACCCTTCCCCATCAACCCACCCACTTCCCATGAACCCAAACAGGAGTCAGGCATCAGGAAATGCTGTCAAGGGACAATTAAATTATGCTCTGGTGCAAAGCCTTCTACTTGTCCCCGAGAAAGTTGGTTCTTGGCTCCTGGACCACACTTGCAATAGGTTTGCCTTCAGACCTCAAATTCACTTAGTAAATGATAGCTTTTTCTGAAGCTCATGGTATGGAGTGTTCCATGGATGGAAGAGGCTCATGAATGGAGCCTGGAAACAAAGGCGCTATTCGAGTGACTACCCTGAGGAACTGCCCCCATCACCACCCATTCCCCTCTACCACCCAGTACTCTCATTACCTTAGGATATATGCGAACATATATTGCTGAAGAATACAAGAAGAGTGTATGCTCTCGTATTTGAGAACAGGCCAGTTCTGTGCTATGTTGAAGACCGAAGACATTCAAACACCCACAAGTCACAAAGCGCTATGCAGCTGACACCTGGTTTGTCCCACACCACCTCATGTGGCCTATACACCCTTCACCATATGAGCAAAGACACCCTCTGGGATATCCCATATACCACAGCCCACCAACTCAGTACTCCTAGACTGAGACCCTTATAAATAAATTTGTTACATTTTAATCATTAACAGAATGAATAAAATCCTACAAAACTTTGCGGGCTGAAAATGCAGACTATTTTTCCATTCCGTTAGGAGAATGGATTCCAGTCATGTATTATTTTAGTTTATGAAGCAGGCACCCATGATGTCCAGTGACAGCCTGTCTTTTTGTTCTCAGTGAATGTACTTTTCAGGTTTCTTAACGTATTCTTGCCATCCCTGATTGATCTGAAGCTCCATTTTCTTCAGGAGTCAGAGGGAGAGACTAATCACCTTGATAAATTTCGTCTTCTTGCAAATTACACTCATATTCATTTCAAGGGTTTGTTGGAATAAAAATAAAGAGACTTCAAGAATATTCATACTCAGAAATAAGCATAGAACCATATTTGCTAGAGTGCACCCTTTTCTCTTAAACCAAACTGAGGCCTAATCGATTTTTTTAGACCTTTACCTTTGATCCTATTTAATACCATCCCTACTAGTTTGAAAGATGAAGTCTCAAATAACAGGTTGTTTAAAATCGCAGACTGGAACTTAAGCAGCATTAATCTTTATTTCTAACCTGAAATTCTCAGCTGAGATGCCTCCCATGCCCTTTTCCAACAAGCACCAAAGGAAGACATGTAAATTATTTCTCTTTTTACTAAAACTACCCTAACCAGTGACCACACATAGGTTTTTTTTTCATGTTCCATCGACAGGAAAAAATCTCTATATACCAGGTATTTCTTTTCTTTTGCTCTAAAGCTAAGCACTCTTACAATCAAAAGCTTTCAGATTGCTACTAGGGTGATGTTAATCGTTTCAGAAGCTAGGCAACTTCTGAAAACCACAAAAGTTTTGGAATCCCAACCCCCCAAATGCCAGCACCCTTACTGTCCACTTTTGGGAAACCAAAAAGAAGCCGGATTGCTCCGTTCAGAAGAGTGCCGAGATCCAGGGCATCGCTATGTTGAGAAGATTAAGCAGGAATAAAAACTGTTGGCAAACTCATCCAGCCTGAATTACTGTTATTAATAACATAACACTGGCACTACCAGCAATAACAACAGAAATAAAAGATCTAAAACCATATTGTGCAAAAAACCCGAACAGAACAGTAAGCAGGCTTTGGAGTAAATTAGAATAAATGTGTACTTCCAACAAATGGGTTGGGAGAGGGGAGAATAAAAATTTGTTTCCTACCTATCTGCATGACCCTTCCAAAAACGGAGGTGTTGTCCACAGTGCTACAGTTCCATCGTCTATGTCGAAATTGGTACTGGCATTCCTTAATGCCCGTTTTTGCTCCTTCTCCAATGTATTGCATGTGGTCTTGATAGAGATGACAGAGTTTCTTCTGGCCTTGAGAAAGCCCTGCCAGTTGGCTACACAAGGGCTGAGCTCCTATGATATAGACTTCTGACATCTGAACAGGGTTATTCATACCTAAAGACCTAAAAGGGGAGGGGGGGGAGAGAGAGACAAGCATTGGAGATGTAAGATCGGCTTAACTCTCCAGGTAGCACCTAAAGCATGTCAGCCCTCCATGGATCTGTGGATACACATAGCCTTTCTCTGGTGGTCCTTTTGACAAAGTGAAAAGAGAGTTTTAGAAAACTATGTTTAAACTCAATGGTGTGGCCCATGCTGTCTGAGCCCGGCAGGCAGACTCAGCCTTGATTCCTTCTACCCCCTGCCTTGTCCTCTCCTTCAATATCCTTGGACTCAGGTGGTTTAGAGATTTATTTAGGCACACGCCAGAGAAAGTGGAGAGGCTTCAGGGAAGAATTCAAACTGCAAGATGGGATTCCCTCCACGCTGGGTGTCCTCACCCTATTTGGAGGTAACTGCCCTGAAAGTTGAGAATAGCCTTGATTAACCAAGGTTAGAAATAAAGATAGTATTCCCTGCACACACACACACACACACACACACACACACACACACACACAGACGGAGTATCCAATATACCCCATCTAGTTATACATGTATGTGTACATGTATAAGTATGTATGTGTATATATGTGTGTGTGTATACAAAGTCTACTACAGAAACCAAGCACTATTTGGGGGAATTTTTTTAAAGAGCTTCTTATATGACCCCAAAGGACTAAAACAGGGTATTCAGTCAGGCAGCAGTCAGGTTAGACAGTAAGAAAAATGTGGTTCATTTAAGGGAGGGGGGAAGAATCCAGAGAGCTGTCATAAATCATTGCTGAATATACTGCAGTCTGGAAGACCAATGACTGCAAAAAATCTTTTTTTTTTTTTTTTTTTGGGGGGGGGGGGAGCAGGGGTGATGTGACTATTTCAAGTTTTGGGGGTTTTTTTGTTTTTTTTTCCCCTCAGCCCAACTTGGAGGGGTTAGCTGTCTTCCCAGAACTCTGCCTATTTTCGGACTCTGTAGGTTAATAACCTAGAGTGACACAAAATAAAAGTCAAAACTCACTTTTATTGCTGAGAGGTGACAAAAAAAAGTTTATAGATAGGTTTACAATTATTAGAGAAGTGGATTTCTGTTCCCCTTTATGGCACAGAGTACTAAGACTACATGGGCATAACACATGCACTCCCACATCCTAACAAGGGCCCTATAGAAATCTCCGAGGTTTACATGTGCATATTCCCCATGGAGCTTAAGATAATCTACACAATGCTGGGGAAATAATAAAGAGAGAGAGAGAGACAGAGAGAGAGAGAGAGAGAGAGAGAGAGAGAGAGAGAGAGAGAGAGAAAGGAGGAGAGGAGAGTACCTATTAATATATGCATGTTCCATATGATAAATGTACATATAGATATGCTCACAAGGAAACTCCAGGACATTTTTTGTCTTAAGGCTGTCATGAACTCCAGAAAAAGAGACTGCAAATACACACACATTTCAGATCTGCTTACCACCAAGAGCTGGCCTCTATCACAACTTGGGTAACAGAGATGAAAATGGCCAAGGCCACTAGAGACAACTTCGAAGGCATCGCAGTGGCACTGCCCGATGATCCCAAAGTACCTCCTTGGACCAATATTCCAATCGACTTCTGGAGAGGGAAAGAGGGAGCAGATGTTTATTGTTTCTCAGTTCATTTTCGAGCCTGCAAGTTTAAACAAGGGAAGCATCCTGGGTCTCGGAAGTTGCCTGCTGCCGGGCTGCCTGGCTGTCCCTTCTCTTATCCGGGAGTTTTTGATGGCAAGATATAGGCAGCTGCTTTTCCAAATTAATCCACCCACGCAGCCTCGGGAGGAGGAAACCTTATTCCAGGGCAATGCTGCTTTCGGAGGAGCAGCCCAGCGATTACAAACATGTCTCAGGGCTGTTGCGTCCCAGCCCGGTGCCAAGCCAGCCGACAGCAGCCTCCACTCTTTCCCCGTATTCTTTCTTGCCTCCCTCCACTTTCAGTCACTCTACTCCCCCAGAAGGGCAGGCAAGCATCCAATGAGGGGTGCCACCACCCTCACTCATCCCAGACCTGCAGCACCCAGCAAGTGGAGTCCGACTCGATCCCAGGGAGAGAGATGGCCAGATGCTCGGGGAGCCGACTGGGAGCAGAGAAGCTCACTGTGCGCGGACTTGGGGGAGGGCAGCCAGGGAGGGCGGGGAGGTGGTGAGGACCTGGGGGTGGGGGACAGAACTGGAGGGAAGGGCAAAGGGGTACGGGGCGGGGGCGGGGTGGGGGGAGGCGGCCAGTGAGAGAGAGATACCCAGCTGGTAAATTTAACTCCGAATTGACAACGTATGCTCCATAATCAGTTTATGGGCTGGTTTGTTGGAGAGCCGCTTCCAGATGGCCACGGGCAGGGCAGGTTTCGTTTAGGACTTTCTCAAGAGCGGATGAAGGGAGGAGGGAAAGGAAGAGGGCAACCTTCCCAAAGGAGAAGAGGACAAGCCACTCCACCCCCTCCGGCCCCGGACAGTTTGGGGACTGGCTGGGGTAGCGTGGTATTAGGCCCAGGGGACTGTACATTGGGAAGGGCAGGAAGAAAACGAGGGCAGGGACTGAGGACTAGGGTCAGGCAGACACAGGGACAGTCATTTCCCCACAGTTACACTCGCCAAGTCCACCAGCAAGTCCGACCTTCCCTTCTCCCTGCTCCATAGGCCCCTTCCCTAAAGCTGAAGCAGCTGAGGGGATGCGGCACAGTTGGGCAACCTCATCCGGGTTGTCTCTCCCTCCCGTTCAGAGCCTCGTAGGGGATCACAGCTTCCTTTCCTGGATTTGTCAGAGCCCAGTTGGCCCAAGCTCCAATCTCTCCAAAAGGGGGCAGGGGGCATTGGTCAGGGCGCTGCTGGTGGATCCCTGGAGGCAAGCAGCCTCTTCTGGGAGGGAGGGCAGGACAGCTGAGTCCCCTCTGTGCTGCTGATTCGGGGGCAGAGGGTTGGCAGGGGAAGGGAATGACTCACAGAGGGAGCAGAGGTTCCCTCCGCCAGGGAGGGAAAAGAGGGGAGATGCTGATAAAGATGAAGAGATCCCCTCCAAATAGCTCGGGCCTCCGGAGCCTCCCCTGGTCTTCGAACTTCCCAGGTCTCCGGGCCGCAGCAAGGGCTGAGCCTGCAGGGCGGGACCGGGAGCCTAGAGGCCAGCTCGGGGGCGAGAGAGAGCTAGGGTAGCATGGAGGTTGGAATTAGGGGTGGTAGGGGGAGGACAGAGGAGACCCACGAAGGCTGCCCAGCCACCAGGTTTCCTACCTGCCCCTGCCACCGCCACCCCCAACACTCCAACACTGCTCCCCTGGGACAGATAGCAGGCAGGCCTGCTTCCCTCCCTCTGTCCCGCCTGCAGCGGCCAGCCTAGCCTCCCATTTCCCCCCCAGCTAGATGGGCGAAGCCTCCCTTCCCCGGCACATTTCCCAAAGCTCAGCAGCTCCTTCTCTCCTTCTCCCCCGCCCCAAAGTGTCAAGTTTCGGGACTTACTGGGGGAAGAGGAGTGAGTGGGGGGTTTGTCTGCGTCTGCCCGCAGCCAAGGTTCCCATTTAAATTTTCCAGAAGGGGCGACCCCAGCGGGAGGGAAGGAGGGAGAGGGAGGGAGAGAGAGGGGGAAAGAGAAGGGGGGGGCAAGCAGTCTGTGGTGTGCACATGCACACACATCTAACATACGTGTTTACGTGTAGGCATAAAATGTACGGATGGAGTTGAAGGGTTTCCAGGCGAAGGCAGAGAGGGGCTGGGAGCGCAGAGCAGGAGAAATTGATAACAGATCCCGAGGATTAAAGCGGATGGATCCCTCTGTTACCGGCAAAGCCACACAGACAGAGAAGAGAGCCCCCAGCCTACCAAAGGGAAGGGGCAAGTTCACGGTTCTTCCATTCAATGCAACAAAACCAGGGGACCCCACGACTTCCTCTAAAGTCCAAATTAATGCTGTGGAAGGGGTGGATGGGTGTGAAGGGGGCGAGGAGAGGGAAAGGGAAAAGTTTCTGTGTCCCAACCGAGGAAGGCGGTGGAAAGAGAGACAGGGAAGAGAGGCCAAGCATCCGCTCGCTCTATTGCTTCTTTCTCTGAAAGGGCCCCACCCCCAACCCTCACGTTCGCGCAGCAGATTATTCCCCAGATATCATTATTATTGTTATCATTATTATTATTATTATTATTATTATTATTTTGGAAGGACCCTTCAAGCCAAGGAGGAGGAGAAAGCAGTATGTATCATACAGTTGCCCAAAGGACTAGAGTCGGGCTCCTGCAAGAAAGAGCTCAACACTTTTCTCACTCTGTCCTGCCTTGGAGAAAGTCAAGTTGGGGAGCTGGCCCAGGAACTTTGAAGGCGGGAGGCGGGAATGTAAAGAGAGTCCCCTAGTTAGAAAGAGCCTGAAGGAAAGCTTTGCACGAAAACTCTGAATGGGAAAGTGAGGTGTGTTGTGTGTGTGTGTGTGTGTGTGTGTGTGTGTGTGTGTGTGTGTGTTCCTCTTGTTAGGGGAATGTGTGATTCTTTTGCAGTCCAGGGACTTTCTCCCTTTCCCAGGCTCCCAGAGATGGGACGAGAAGGCTCAGTTTGCCGGGGACAGACAGGATCTATCCTGCCGCAGGACGCTCAGCGCTGGGTACTCCCTATTCTGTTTTAAAAAAAAAAAAATCTCGCTGAATTAAAGGTGCTCTTAATTCTCCCTGATGGGAAGGAAAGGGGGAGGAGGGAGGAAAACCTGTCACTACAACGCACAGGAAATTCACGATAACCTGAAACCTGCCAGAGCTCAGACACACACACAGCTTGTGGCAGGAAAAACGGAAATTAACGGCACCCAAGCACAGAATGGGAGGGGAAGGACTTCTGTTAAAGCACCCCCAACTTTAGCTCTCCCCTTTCACTCCAACTTTCTTGTCAGTTCCCCACCCTATCTGGGGGCTCCCTCAAGCTAAGCAGGCGGCCCTGAGGCTCTCTATGCAGCCTTCCCGGTTCCTCCTCCCAGCTCTCCAGCGGCTCTGAGGCCCCAGATCTCTGGGAAACCGCTGGAATCTTAGAGAAGGCTGGTGGGATGGAGAGGGGGAAAGCCAAGTTTACATACATATGTAGCCAGAGGAAGGTCACCGACTGGCCCAAGCACATAATGGAGAAAACAATGACGAAAAACTCCCAAAGTTCAGGGATTACAAATGTGTGTGTGTGTGTGTGTGTGTGTGTGTGTGTGTGTGTGTGTGTGTTTGGGGAGGTGCCCCCACCCATCCCATGAGCTTCTCTATTTTGGGTCTTGTTTTAAGGTGCAGAGCTAAGGCAAGATTCAGAAATGTTTTGCATAGGGGAAAAAAAAAAACCAGTAACAACAACAAAAAAAGTTTCAAGCTAGCTGACGACAGGAGATCCGAAAGTCAGAGAAAGTGAGACCTACCCAGCTTGGTCTTGGCGCAATCGTAGGCCGCCGGCAGTAGACAAAAGGAGCATCATTGGCCTGGAGTTCCCTGACCCACCCAACCTTCCCTTCTTCCAGGCGCCTGGCTCTTAAGAGCCCCCGGGACTGCGTGGCAAGGAGCCCGGGGCACATTGCTAGCACACCACGGTCCTCTCCTTCTGCTTCTCCCGGGGAGCTCACACTAGGAAACTGAGAACAAGCGTTCCCTCCCCTTCTATCAGTATCCGAGGAGCTCGGATAGAACTGGCCAGTTCCGGCTAGGGATGGAGAAACGCGGGGGAAGAAGGGGGCCAGCTTTGCCACTCTTCATCGCTCATCCTTCTCTTTCTAGAGCAAGAGTTCCATTATCCCACCTTACACCCTATCCAGCTCCCCTACCTTCAGTTTGCATCTCTGCAAACCAGCCCCTGGCCTTGGAAGAAGGGGCTTGGGGGGTGGGGGTGGAGGGAGAGTGGATCCAAGGGGGCCGCAGGGCGCGCAGGAGCCTCAAGAATCTGGGACCTGTGCGTAAGTTGGTGCTTTTTTAGAGTGAGCGTCCCAGCGGCTGGCACCCGACCTGCGCAGGTCCCTTTCTTTGGGATGCTGCGGCGGTCGCCAGCCTATCGCGTCCGCTTTGGCCCCGGACGACAGCCACCTTTCACCCCAATCGGAGAGCCACCCGGAGGAGCTTCAGAAGACCCACAGCGCCCAGAAGTGGCCTTTGGAGAGGCGCGAGAGTGAGGAGACAGAGAAGCCGCATCGGATTATCTGGGAGGCGTCCTGTCCCCGCGTGGCCAACAGGGGGCACTAGGGACCGCCCCACGAAGCTAGAACAAACCAGGCAGCGAACGAGCGAGGACGGGTGGGAGAGAGCTCACAGACCCACCCGACCCAGCTTGGGCCATCAGATACCCGGGGCGGGCCGAACAGGCAGGGAGGCTGCGGACAGAGGGGAATGGGAGGGTCCTTTTCTTATTCAAACTCCCGGGAAGCGCAACAGGACCTTGCTGTGACCGGCGTCCCTCCCCCTCCCCCGTTTGGCGCTCCTGTCTCCCCACAAGCTGTGCACTTGAAATGGGGGGGGGAGGGGCGAACTTCACGGATCGCTTCGGCAGCCCGCGGGTCGTCCCCTTTAACCTTCTTGGGTACAGGTTGTCTAGCAACCTGGTTGCAACATCTGGATGCCTTGGGGGGGGCGGGGCGAGGAAGTCCCGTGGCATCGCTCCCGCAGGCTCCCAAAGGACTTCCAAGCCCGGGGGTGCCCACTTAAGAAGAGAAGGAAGCTGCGGGAGAGACTGTCACTCGTCCACCCGACCCAGGGCTAAGCTGAACCCAGGCTGGTGTTTGATGGAGAGATGGGGGGCGGGGGGAGAGGAGAAGGGGGAGACAGAGGGAGGGAGAGCGAGCATGCGTCCGTGCCCGGGGGAGGGGGGACGGAGGAGGGTTTTCATTTGCCAGTGGGGGAGCACTTTTCTCAGTACTTGACCCCCGGGGAAGGTCTCGTTCCTCCCTCGGAAATCGGACGAGAGGGCGCGGGCTAGAACTGGGGGAACCACCAGGCTTTCTCCAAGGGAGAGCACCTAGGGCAACGGGGGAACCGAGCGGACTACGGAGGGGAAGGGGAATGGGGGATGGGCGGTGCTGGGGGGGGGGCTGTTAAAGTGACCTCTCGGTGACCCTCTGAGTGCGGGGCTCTGTGGAGGCCGGGCACAGCTGACAATTCAAACAAACCCCAGCGGTCAAACTTCTTCCCCGCTCCCCCCTACCCCATCTCGCGCTCAGTCTGAAAAACTTCAAAAGGAGCAAGTCAAACGGAGGGGGGGGGGGCGGCAGGGCGGGGGTAGAGTGTGGAGGCCCCCCCCTCCCCGATCCAGGAGACTGGCCCCCTTCCAGATGCAAAATGCGGGAGGCCGGCGCTCACAAAGCGCCCCCACTAATCCTCGGGACGCAGCCAGGCCGGCCCCCTCGGGCCCCAGGGTGTCCGCAGAGGCTCGGGCCAGGCACTCTTAAAGGGCCAGCGCTTCCCCAGGCGGGCCGCCCAGGCAACAGGCTGGGAGGCGACGGAGACAGGGGGGACGGGGAGGTGAGGCGGGAGGGAACGAGGGAGGGCCTGGAGCTCTTCTTGCCTCCTCCCTCCTCCTCCCGACCCTCGGGGTCCCCTTGGCCCCTTCCACTTTGGGGTTCCCCAAACATCGCGGAATTATCATTTATGTGAGTGATACACTTTACAGCCACGGCCCGACCTCGCTGGTGGAAAAAAAGGAAAAAGAGAGAGAGAGAGAGAGAGA